ATTTACGTTCAGTGCTATAGTCCGAAAATGAACATGGAAAAATACAAACAGCTCATCTGTTAGGGTGGCAGGGACCAGGGACAGTATATTCTTCACATTTCCATTTTTAAGTCTATTGTAATACAGTGGTCCATACAGTGACTAATTAAAATGCTATTCAGTATACTTAAAAATACCCATGACATAATCTTTTAAGCTTTAAAATGAGTAGAAGAGAGGAGATGGATGCTATGCAATCTTTCCTCCATCGGAAGTGTTCTACCGCACTGCTTCTCAAACTTGAATATGGGGTCTTGTTTAACTGCAGATTTTAATTCAGTAGGTCTAGGTGGTGCAAACAGTTTGCACTCCACTACTAACCCAAACAATGGCAAACTGAACCCACCCAGAGGCACCACAGAATTGAAAGGCCTGGCAATTCGCCTGCATAAAGATGACAGCAAAGAAACCCTATGGAGCAATTCTACTCTGTAATACATAGGGTCGCCATGAGTGGGAATCGACTTGACAGCAATAGGTTTGGTTTTTGGTGGGGTGTGGCCTGACCCCAATGCTGGTCCATGGGCCACACTCCAAATACTAAAAGTCTAAAACACCAAGACAGCCAATACTGCCCAATTCTCGCTTTGCATTTTTTTATAAACATCTGTAGCCTTACCTGAAGGCCACAGCTATACACACTATCAGTGCAGACAGCAACGGAAAAGGGAAGGCAGCTTGAGACTCACATGGGCGCCTTTTGGGCCCACGGGCGAGGTTTTCCCAGGAATCTTGTGCCTTGTTTAAGGCCAGGCCTTTGGCTCCTGGGACATGTCTGCTGCCCCTGCGGGAGTAGGGGGCTCCTTTTGGGAAGCAGGTTGTGGCTTCCCACATTTCCCAGGGCATTTCCCTCTTCACACCATCTTGCTTTCCACACTTTCTTGTGGCTGGTGGCTCTGTTTAGTAGAATTTCGGAGTTCCCATCCTGGAACAGGCTCCCGGTGTGCAGGCAACTCGGGTTTATAGGGTGTGGAGACCCTGCCCACTCACATGCACCCACACACGTAAAGACCCCAGACCTTGTCCTCGAGGAAGCACTCCAGGCCTAGTTCAGTAGGGCCTTTGAGTTGGGAACTGACAAGTTTCCCACTTGGAGTTAACTTAGAAATGAATGACTGAAAGAATAAAACAGAGAAGTTCTGCAATTATTAACTAGCTTATGTGAGCTTTTCCAGTGTCCTGAATAAAAAAGAGTACTAGCCTCAAGGACACACTCTATTTTGGGAGAGAAGCTGCCTATTCTTCCATTCGATGCCTCTTCTCTGAAGAACAGAGCCCCTCCTGGGTCCTCAAATACTGCCCACCCAGCAAGTACTTTGTCAGAGATATGATTTGTCACAACCAGGCGCAGTGTGTCCCTCGCTCTGTGCAGCCCACATCAATCCCTGCAGTGCCACCGCCATGACAGGTGTGAGTTCAGGCTCACAACAAGGAGGAGTCACAGCTCTGGCCGGAAGCCCAGACCTCAGCCCCAGCCCGCCTGCCCTGCGGCGTGCCCCACGCTGGCTGGACCGGCAGCCACTCCTCACAGCCTAGAGCCCCCAGGGAATGCGGAACACCACGAAGGGGAAGTCAGTTCACACTTAATAACCATTAAAAGGAACAAAAGGCCTCAAAATGCAATTGCCACAAACCTAGCAATGAGTTAATATGATTTATATTCCAAACACATGCTCTTACTACATATTTTTTCAAACTCATGAGCTCCTCTTGGAAAAAATTATAATTAAAGTTATTTTAAAATATGAAAGCAGATCACTTCCATTTGTCCACACAATTGGCCTAGTAGAAGTCCCTTCATATAAGTCTAATAATCACACTGTTGTTATCTCCATACATACAGTGGGTTTTTTTTTTTTTTTTTGGACGGGGAGGCAGCTTTTCAGTGTGCTTAATAGAATACATACCTACTTTGCTTATAATACAAAGGAAGTACGCTGTTGTTGTTAGCACCATCGAGTGGGCCCCTGACACATTGCGACCCATGTACAACAAGATCCGACGGCTGTAATCAGGGTTTTCAATGGCTGATTTTTGGAAGTAGACCACCAGACCTTTCTTCCTAAGTCCATCTTAGTCTGGAAGCTCTGCTGAAACCTGCTTAGCATCACAGCAACATGTAGGCCACGACTGACAGACTGGGTGGTGGCTGAACATGAGGTGCATTGGCTGGAATCGAACCCCGGTCTCCCACATGGAGAGAACTCTACCACTGACAGCTATACTTTAATCCACTGGCTTCATCAACATGCATTTCTTCTCTAAGACTTTGTCTCTAAGACTTCAAATAATTCCTTTCAAAAGAGTTCCTTATAGCTAAGTGTCCATCATGCCAAGGCCTGCTGGGCTTTCAGAAAAGTGTCTCAGGACACAATGGCCACTGTGCAATGGGCTCAGACCCCTGCTCCTCGCCATGGGGGCATCCCACCACTGACCACAGCAGAGTGCCCCCTGGCACCCCTACATCCTTGCTGACGTCCTGCTGGGATGAAAAAAGCGCCTGAGGGGAGGGGGCAGGCAAGATACACTGAACACCCCCCACCATGAGCAGATCCAGGGGAGAGGCTGGAAACAGAACTCGTGCGGGAGGCACTGGCTGCCAAGCAGCACCCTCACAGAGACTTCTCCGGTATTTACTAATTAACCTGCCGGAGGAGCTAAAGGATGACCAGGATGGAATGGGAGAACGTATTTGGGAACCATATAGCTGATAAGGCTTTAATATCCAGAATGTATAAACAACTCAACATCAAAAAGACAAACAATCCAATTAAAAAATGGGCAAAGTACTTGAATAGACATTTCTCCAAAAAAGATAAACATATGGCCAACAAGCACACGAAAAGATGCTCAACATCATTAGTCATTGGGGAGATACAAATCAAAACCACGATGAGATACCACCTCACCCCCACTAGGGTGTCAATTATCAGAAAAACAGAAAACAGTAGGTGTTGTTGAGGATGTAGAGATACAGGAACCCTTGTCCATTGCTGGTGGGGATGTAAAATGGTACAGCCACTGTGGAAAACAGCGGTCAGTTCCTTAATAAGTTAAACAGAATTAACTTATGACCTAGCAATTCCACTCTCAGGTTTACACACAAGAGACTTGAAAGCAGGGATGCAAACAGGTATTTGAACACCAATGCTCACAGCAGCACCAGTCACAATAAGCAAAAGGTGGAAACAACCCAAGCTTCCATCAACAGATGAATGGATAAACAAAATGTAGACTATCCATACAATGGAATATTCCTCAGCCATAAAGAGAAATGAAGTTCTGATACGTGCTACCACATAGATGAACCTTGAAAAGATTATACTGACTGAAATAAGTCAGACACAAAAGGACAAGTATTTTATGATCTCATTTATACGAAATATCTAGAATAGGCAAATGCATAGAGACAAATGTTTACTGGTGATTACCAGGAGCTGAGTGGAGGGAGAAGCACGGAGTTATTGCTGAAGGGTTATACTGAGTTTCTGTTTGGGGTAAATGAAAAACTTTCAGAAGTGGACAGTGGTAATGGTTGTACAACATGGTGAATATAATTAATGTCACTGAATTGTACCTTTAAGAATGGTTAAAATGTTTTGTTAAATAGATTTTACCACAGTAATTTTTTTTTAAAAAAAAAAGAATCATCATGAAAAAGTTTACACAAAAAAAGTAAAAATCTCTGTTGATTACCAGGGATGGGGGGGGTGGGGGGGAAATACTATATAAACAATAGATACGTGGTAACTTTGGTGAAGGGTAAGACAGTACACAGTACTGGGGAAGCCAGCACAACTTGTACAAGGAAAGCTCATGGAAGCTCCATAGACACATCCAAACTCCCTGAGGGACTGAATTGCTGGGCAGAGGGCTGTGGGGACCATGGTCTCGGGGAACATCTACCTCAATTGGCATAACACAGTTTATAAAGACAATGTTCTACACTCTACCTTGGTGAGTAGCATCTGGGGTCTTAAAAGCCTGTAAGCAGCCATCTAAGATACCCCCCTGGTCTTACCCCTTCAGGAGCAAGGGAGAATGAAGAGAATAGGATACAAGGAAAAGATTAGTCTGAAGGACTAATGGACCACAGCTACCAACATCTCCACCAGACTGAGTCTAGTACAGCTAGATGGTGCCCGGCTACCACCACTGACTGCTCTGACCGGGATCACAACAGAGGGTTCTGGACAGAGCTGGAGAAGGATGTAGAACAAAATTCTACCACACAAAAAAAGACCAGATTTACTGGCCTGACAGACTGGAGAAACCCCAAGAATATGGCCCCCGGACACCCTTTTAGCTCAGTGATGAAGTCACTCCTGAGGTTCACCGTTCAGCCAGGGATTGGACAGCCCCAGAAAACAGAACAGGACTAATGAGGCACAGCAATCCAGGGACAAGGACTAGCAGGTAGAAAGGGATAGGAAAGCTGGTGATAGGGAACCCAAGGTTGAGTAAGGGCAGGGATGACATGTAGTGGGGTTCTTAACCATTGCCATAGGCAACATGTGTACTAACTGTTTAATGAGAAACTATTTTGTTCTGTAAACCTTCATCTAAAGTGAGAATAGCAGCACAACTGGAAGAATGTAATCGACATCACTGAATTATACTTGTAGAAATTTTTGAAACGGTGTATCTTTGGCTATGTATATTTTCACCAAAGAAAAAAAAAAGGTCAAGAAGGGCATGTTAACATGTCATGGAGTTGTTAACCAATGTCATAAAACAATACGTGTACTGATTGTTTAATGAGAAAATATTTGTTCTGTAAACTTTCACCTAAAGTACAATTAAAAAAAAAAAAGAATGATCAGAATATTTTCAACAATCAGATCCTTCCGCTATCTTCTCTCCTGCATGGCCTCGGCTTCAGCACCTCTATGGCTACACCAAGCCAGTCTTCACTTTCTCAGCCCTCCGCCTCTTCCTCTCAGACAACCACAGAGCCCTACCTGCTCCTGGGGCCACTTTGGCCTCTCCTCCGGGGTCCTGGTCTTGGTCTTGAAGCCTCTCTGGGGGTCTCCGGGGTGCTTGGTTTCCACAGGGAGGTTCAGAGACTTGGGCCGGCCCTCGTGTCTGCTGGGACCGCGGCTGGTCTCGCCAGGCGAGCAGGCCTCTGTGGAGTCCCCGGGCCCTGGCTCGGACCCCCGCATGTGTGTGTGCTCGGGGCTGGCCTCGCCGGCACTGGTGATGCTGGTCATGCTCAAGCTCATCTTGATCTCGGCCACTATCTGGTCAATGTCTTCCTCCTGGTCCTCCAGGTCCCCGTTCCCCCGCCTTAGGCGGTAGGGGGAGGCCCCACCTGCATTCCCATTGGCCTCTGCCGGGTAGTAGTCCTGGTACCCCTCTTCACCAGGACAATAGTGGACGCCTTCCTCCTGGTCATGGGTCTCCAGCGTGGAGGCCTCATGTTCCAGGATAGGGAGGTGGCCATCCCGGTAGTCCTGGCTGCCTTCGGCCCCAGGGCCAAGGGGGTGCAGGCCAGCCGAGTCTGTCCACTCCTCCACCGCCTCCTGGCACTCATCGGTCTCCACATGCGGGGCACCATGGGCCAGGTACTCCTCCCCGTTACAGTCCATGCCTTCCAGGTAGCTGTCATCCTCTGGGCAGTAGCGGATGTAGTAGGTGATGCCCTCCTCCTCCTCTGGGAGGCCCTCGTCATAGTCCTCCTCCTCAGAGGTGTTGTTGACGTAGTCGGAGCTCGAGTCCCCATCGGGGCTGTGGTCAGTGCACTCCTGCTCTGCCGGCGGGGGGCTCTCAGGCCGCAGAGTGACCAGCTCCAGGCCCGTGGGCACATACTCCTCCAGGGGCAGCTCCACCTCCTCACTCTCAGGCTCAGGGCCGTGGGGGGCCGTGGGGTCCGGCCGCACCCTGTGGTCCAGCATGCTGCTCATGGTGCTCTGGTGCCTCCGGCTGGCCATGGCGGGTGCTCACGCGGCCATCATCCTCAATAGGCGGCCTGCAGGAGGAACATTTGAAAAAGCAGAGTCAGACACCACTGGAACAGCCACCAAAGTGAGCACCACGCCAAGAGTGCCGGCTGGGCTGCGGGTCTCGGGCCTGCTGGGCTTCCCAGCAGGCCTGTCTCAGACCAGCGTGAACACCCAGCTGTCAAAACCCTTCACCCTTCCCACCACTTCCCACCCTGTCGAAGAGGAAGGGGGGCTCAGTGAGCCAGAGGAGAATGGCAGAGGTGGGCAGAACTGGTCACCTAGAGGCCTGGATTCTCCCACCCATCACTCATTGGTCATTTGTGGCCACTTCCTTAAAGTGATCCAGCAGTGTGGGCAGCACAGAAGATCAACAGAAATGACCGTAAAAAATAATTACTTTCAAAACACCAGAAGCTGTAATTCAGAAGACATAAAGGCAGGCAACATAAAGAAAGACAGAGCTCCATGTCTCCTCCAGGGCCTCCCAAATCTCCCTCCTACACAGGCCATCTCCACCCTCCCCCTAACTCCAGTCAAGCAGTGGTCACTACGGGACCAGGAGTGGACAGCAACTGTCCAGGCCAAGCAAGCACACTGGAAGCTGAATCAATTCCTGCACAGAGAAAGCTTGATGGGCGAAGGGCAGGAGAGAGGAGCAGAGGGGTGCACGGCCAGTGGGGAGGGCAGCTGTGGCTCACAGGGGGCATGTCCTGGAACCACAGGCACTGCGCGGACGACGGGACGCAACTCACTGCCCCAGACTGGCACGTCACCCCATCTACAAGGCACGTCGCAAAACAGGATTCCCTCTTAGACCCATCTGTCTGGGACCCATGTGAAGGAGATATGGGGACACAGCAGAGGACTGGGGACAGGGAGGCAGACAGTGAAATGATTCTTCCAGTCCTCTAGGGAGCAGAGGGCTAGGATAGGGGAAGGGCATGGAGGAGGTTCAGAAGTTTGGCTAATGCTCAGCTTCTTAAGCTGAGTGGTTACAGAAGTGTTAGTGTTATTCTTTAAAGTGTACTTTTACATTAAGCAGTTGTCATTGAATCCACTCTGACTCATGGCAACCCCATGTGTGTCAAAGGAGAACTGTGCTCCATAGGGTTTTTCATGCCTGATTTTTTGGAAGTAGATCGCCAGGCCTTTCTTGCGAGGCACCTGAGTGGACTCGAACCTCCAACCTTTCAATTATCAGCAGAGCAGTTAACCATTTACATAACCCAGGGGCTTTGGCATTACATATGCCTTTTTGTTTGCATTATAGCTTATTTTTTTAAGTTAAGAATCGTCGTTTTGAAAAAATGTATCTCAGTAGTCCAGTTAAGAAATGAAATCGGAAACTAAAACAGTGGAAATGAGAGGGGAAGCAACTGGGCGAAGAGTTTGGGTGGGAGAAGCAATAGGGTTTGGGAGACACTGGAGTAGAGCGTGAGGATGGAGGAGGTGATGGTGGTGACTCCACCGCCGGGCTCAGAATGTGCCTTGCTTTATATTCTCCTCCTGCAGTCCTGTCCTCTGGGGGGATCTGACTTTCTGTGTCCCCCAGCACAGCACCTTGCTTGCCATGGGTGTCAGATCCATCTCACTAACAGAGCGCATTTACCAGATGGCCAGTTACAGCATGGTGAATACTCCCAGGAGACCTGAGCAGGAAATCATTCTTCTTCTCGGTCCACGCACCCCGAGTACGAGCGTAATTGCTGACTGCGCCGCACGCTGCTAGCGCGGGGCCTCACCTCGCGGAGGGTGCTGGCGGTAGAGTACCGTGTGAGCGCTAAGTCCGCAAGGGTCTCCCAGGTGGCCAGAGTCAGCAGCCTCGCCATGACGCCAGACAACCCACAGTGCTCCACGTGTCACAGACTGGAAAGATGCTGCCACACCAGGGAACTCATCACCGAAAAGGACCCTTAGGGTGTGAGAGTCCTCACCGAGTCACCCGCCCCAAATCCTGAAACTGTCTGGACAACCCCAGTGATGTGTCCCAGGTGAAAAGCAAGATGCCTGGCGTTCGTGAAATATCGGTAAGCGGTGTGCACCGAGGACTCTGAGCCAAAGCACAGACGACAGATGATTTCAGAACAGATTTCTGACACTCACAGAGGACAGCCGGCCACAGGCACGAGCTGGAGGAGTGATGTGAGAGACTCAGCAATTCCCCGTGCCAGCATTCCCCGAGATGGCCCCTCGAGGCGTTCAATGAATAATGCAACGGCCAGCACACGGCCAGATTCCGACGCGAGTGTCAGGATGGCACAGGGCTCACGGTGACGTGGTTGTTCGCACATGAGCACACACCTCCTATTCCCTGGGGAGTGGCACTGTCTTACAGCATCTCTGCACCTCCCCTGGCCTGACTCGGAGCTTGCACCCTAAAGCACACAGTACCTCTTCCTATCTTCATTTTCTTTGTCACTTTAGGGATAAGATCTGGATGCACACGTAGACATATGTATGCCCAAACCTACTTAAAACACCCTCTAAGCCAATATAAGGAGTGCCCAGGTAGCGCATATGGTTAAAGTGCTTGATGACTAGCCGAAAGGTTGGTGGTTCAAACCACCCAATGGCTCTGTGGAAGAAAGGCCTGGTGATCTGCTTCCATAAAGATTATAGCCAAGAAAACCCTATAGAGTAGTTCTCCTCCATAACACATGGGGTTGCCATGAGTTGGAATCAACTTGACAGCAATGGCTTTACGTGTTTTTTGTTTGTTTGTTTTATTTTGCTTTCTAGGCCAATTTAGGACTAAAATACACATATTACAGTAATATAGAATAGTCCCTGATCCAATTAATAAATTATCCAAGTGTTTAAAAACTAAAACACTGAGATGGTATTGCAGGAGAACTAGAACAGAGCCAGTTTATACTCAACGTGTTTCCTGTTCTCTCTCCAAGCCTTCAAATAACTCCAGAATTACTCCAGGTGTACAACACCATCATCAACCATCTAATTCAGACTATACTCAATTCATTGCTCACCACTGCTTTCTGTACTTTTTCTATTTATTTCTCTTTAAAGTATTTATATGATTTCATTTTTATTTTATTAGAATAATTTTCTAGACTAATTTTCTTAAGTTAGGAAGTAATTCTTTCTTATCTGTAAATGGCTTCTGCCCTCACATAGAATGATATCCTGGTTGGGAATAAGATTCTTGGATTGTAACTGTCACTTGCAATAGTCTGCACCACTCCATTATCTTCTAGCTTACAGCATTATAGATGTGCAATTTAATACTAATCTGATTCATTTTATTTTGGTACAAAATCTATTCCTTTTGTCTGAAGCATGTAAGATTTTCTCAGCATCCTTGGAGTTTCAAAATTCCATCAGGATATATCTGGGTGAGCTGGATGAGTGTCTTTTTTTTCCCCCCAATTCTACCTGGGATTCATCTGACGAGTCCTTTCCATGTCAAGTCCCCGCATCTTACTTCAGCTAAAGGACCAGTATCAGTTGTCATTAAGTTGATTCCAAACCATGGCAACCCCATGTGTGTCAGCATACCACTGTGCTCCACAGGGTTTTCAATGGCTGATTTTTCATAAGTAGATCACCAGGCCTTTCTTCCGAGGTGCCTCTGGGTGGACTCGAACCTCCGACCTTTCGATTAGCGGCCCAAAGCATTAACCATATGCACCGACTCCTAGGCTAAAAGAAGTGTCTATTTCTTTTTTTCTTCTTTCTCTCATCTTCTTTTTCTCCTTCTGGAACATCTCTGGGATCTGTCCTCTAAATCACATAACTTTACACCCACATGTTTTGTGTGTTGTATAAATCATTCCTCCATCTGACCTTCCCAAACACTGGTTCAGTTTGCAGCAGGGACCTGGCCTGTGACTGGTCTCTGTCTGCTTTTTGATGACAAGCCCCCCAACACCTGTGCAGGTCCCTCAGGGAGTGGTGGGTTGTCAGAGAGAAGATACAGTGTGAGATTAGTTTTAGGTGAGCTGGCAGCCATGGAGTTGGCCTGAAGGACTTGATTGTTGAGATGTGAGGAGGGAGGCACCTGTTTTCTAGGTAGGAACAGAGATGGGCTATCCTCAGCCAAGCTTCTTGCCTCAAGGGAAATTGATAATCCTGGAGCCACAGGAAATAAGTGCTTCCACTAAATCACCCTGCGTCTGTATGCTGTACCCCCACCCCCAGCTCCACGGGCTCCAGACTTCCCATCCAAGCCCCACGGCAGGGGACAAACATTTTCCCTTCAAACCAGCAAATCTAGCCACCATCTGGAATCCTTTATTCTTTACAGTTAAATATTTAACCCACCTGAAAAGTATGTACATATAAAGTAGGGATCAGCTTAGAATCATCTGGAACCCTTAAAAAATCTAATGCTTAGGCCATACCCCAGACCAATGAAACTGAAGAATCTGGGGTAGGAGCCAGGCACCAGTTATATTTAGGTTCCCCAGGTATTACAATATGCTGCCAAGTTTGGAAACCACTAGTTTCCCAGGTATCCCAGTGCCCTTGACTGAACATTCTTTTTCACATGCACTAGGGTGCACCAACCTGCCAGTTTTAGCACTGAAAAGTCCCGTGACCTGGGAAGCCACCCAGACTCGGGCAAACCAAGACATTGGTCACCCTCCATGTCATACACTAAATTCTTAAATAAACTTAGGTGTGTTTCTGGACTTTCTAGTCTACACCATTTCTATCTGTCCAGCAACAGTACCACACCATTTTAATGACTATGACTTTAGAGTGTACTTAAATACTTGATAAGGCAAGTTCTCTCTCATTATTCTTATTTTTAGATCCTTCCCAGCTACTTTCACATGTTTATTACTCCAAGTAAACTTAGGAATTACTGGGTCAAGGTTCCCCCAATATTGCACTGAGATTTTTTGATGGGGATGGCCTGAAATTATAGATTATCTTTGGGAAATTTTTCATATTTACACTATTGGGTCTTTTCACCAAGAAATATCTCCCCACGTACTCATGTCTCTCAACAGCTTTGTAGTTTTCTTCATAGCCACGTTGTTGGCCCCC